ATAACGAAGGTTCTCACTGGAGATGCACAGGATTGAAAGCCAGCACTTACGTGTATTTCAGAATTCCTTCTAGCTTTGAAGTCCAAATGATCACACTTTTATCAGCTGAGCCAGATGCAAAACGTTTGCCTGGGAATTAAATACAGTTTAAATCCCACACATAAGAATCCCTTACTCACCCAGTATTCAACAAAAGAGAGAGCAAGATGTTCTTGAACTTGACAAGGCTCAAGCTATAAAGAGCCTAACATTGCAAGTGTCCTGGTGTGCTGTGCTTCCTCAGCTGCATGAAACCTCAGTGGCTTTTTTCATGTAAAAAAAGCTCAACCATACAAACAACAAACTCAACGCACGCACACAACACTCAAAAATCCCATTACTAGAACAGCCCCATTTTTATCAATTTGCCATACGGAATGGAAGATATTACACACTTTACAAACCAGACTAAGAAAGTCCCATAGAAGTGATATTTACCATCTTTAGCATAAGCCACACAGTACACAGTGTCCTTATGTCCCTTCAGAGGTTGAATTAAGGTTCCATCAGAAGTATCATATACCTGCACAAGTAACCAGAAAAAAAATATTCAGGATGAGGACTGTAACACAAAATTACTGAAGGCCAGGAAGGTTCTACATTTTGTTTTCTGTTTCCTTTTTTGCAAGCAGTACAATTCATGCAGATTAAGGCATTTTAAAGTGTAAAAGCAGTTTTCCTTAACAAACAATACTTTCCTAACATTGGCACAGAAGAAGTCCAGCACTAAAAAATTACGCAGAATCACGGCGGTGTTCGCACGCCGCGCGCCGCGCCAGCTTCGCGTGAAGGTGGGCGGCCTGCAGGCTGCTGGGCGAGGCGTCAGGAGGCGCTGCAGTAACAGAAATCGCACTACGGAGCAGAGCTCGGATCTGGGTAACATCGCAGCGCCCCGCAGCCGGCCTGCAGAGCGCAGAGCGGGCCGAGCTTTGCGGCGGGTTAAACGCGGCAGGAGCGCGGCCCCAGCGCGGGGAAAGCGAGCTGTCCGTACCAGGAGCCGACTGCCGGCGGCAACGATCAGCTGCGTCCCGTCCGGCTTGAACGCGAGGTCGTAGATGCTGGGGAAGAGACGAGTCGTCGTCGCGGCTGTCGATGTTGGCGGCTCGTCCCGTTCCCGGGATCCCCGGCAGCGGAGCCGCGCCCCGAGGGCCGCCCGACCCCGGCCCTGCGCCCGCTGCCGGCCCGCCGCTCCCCGCCACTCCCCGCCGCCCCCGCCGGCCCCGCGGCGCTCACCAGTGCTCGGCCCGGTCCCGCCAGGTGAGCGCGGCCCGCATGCCGGGCCCGGACCGCACTCGGTCGCCGAGTCGGTCGCGCCGCCGGCTCCCTGGGCAACGCGCAGGCGCCCGGAGGCCCGCCGGACCGCCGCGACGGCAGGGGGCGCCGCTCGGCTGGGCCGCGAGGGACGTCACGTGACCGCGGCGTCCGGAAGCGCCCCTTAACGAGGCCGTCCCGCGACAGAGTGGTTTCCATGGCGACCGGCGGGCGGGAGACGTCGAAGCGGGGATGGAGCGAGCGCGTCGGCGGCGCGCGCCTCCGGGAGGTCGGAGCGGCGCGTGCGGGTGAGGTCACGTGAGCTACACGGACGGGGTCCCGCAGCTCCGCGCCACGCTGACGGAGCCGCGCCGCCGCCTCTTGGCGCGGCGGGAGCTGCGGGAGCCCCGTCCTGTAGCGGCGGCGGCGGGAGGTGGCCCCGGCTCCGGCCCCCTCGGCTTCCTTCCGGCGTGCCGCCCAGCGGCCTTCCGACGGGGCGGGCGGGAGAAGCGGCCCCTCTGACGGCTCGCCGTTCTCTCCGCCCTCAGCGCCGAAGGAACGACGCTGCGGTCCGGACGGGCGCTGGCGGAACGTTGCCATCACGCCGGCACAGCTGGCGGCGCCACGGCCCCGGCTGGGAGCGGGGTGCGGAACGGCGGAGCGCGGAGTTCCCGGAGCGATGGGTCCGAGGCGCGGCGCGGGGAAGGCGGCAAGGCGGAGCGGCGCCCGAACGGCGCCGGAGAGGAGGCGGCGGGGAGAGCCGCGCGGGACGGCGGAGCGAGGAAGAGCTCCGTAGGAAGTAACGGGGAGAGCGCCCGGAGCGAGAGGAGGAGAGCAGCGCGGGGCCGGCGGGAAGTGGAGCGCCGGGCGGGATGCGCGGAGCCGGCCGCGGATGGGCGGAACGGCCGCCAAGAGCCGCACGCAGCGCCCGCGGCTCCGGGATCGCGGCGCTCCGAATCCGACCCCGAAATGGGGAGCGACGGCTTGCGGCCTGCTGGCGACGAGAGCTTCGCGGCAGCTAAAATACGGCGAGGTATGGGTGTGTTTTGAGGCAGAATATGATTCTAACGCGTTATCCTGAACTGCCCGAGGAAAGTATTCGGGACGGGCGCCTCCCGTGCCGTCTCATTTCTGGAGCGCTTTCGTCCTCTTCAGCTGTGCCCTGGGATCAAGTGCTGAACGTGTGCTGCCTCTTGGTGCTGGTGCCGTGTTGGGCCCCGTGCTTTGTGGAGAAGGCTTTGGTTGTACCTTCTTTCATGATGCAGTGTGTGGGGCGGGGTGGAATTCTTAGCTGTCGTTTGGCCCGGTTTTCCAGGCTGCATTGGAGTCGTGATTTCTCTTCAGAATGTTTTTCTCAGAGCTCAAATGCAGAAAAATACATCTGTGTTATGCATTCCTACGTGGAATCTGTGTAATTCCACCACGAATTAAGGAGGAAAATGTCTGTGAGCCATGATGGCAAACTGTGGGGTTTTCCATTTTAATACTGAGGTATCATTTCTTTACAGAAGAATCTGTCCCACGGACACAAGTGGACAGGAGGAAAACAAGTCCGTATTTTTCAAGTAAATACAGTAAGGAAGGTAGGATTCTCCTTGGGGACACAACTGCCATTTTGCAGGGGAGAGCAATGAGGCGGCTCGGGGTGAAGTGATGATGTGGGAAACACATACATGGCTGCACTGCGGGGCTGCAGTGTGAAGTGCACCCCTATGCACAAACTGCCAACGCTGTGCCCACAGTGCTGAGCCTGCTTCTAAAATTTGTCATTTAATTTTTTTTTTCCTCTAATTCCATCCTTTATTACCCTATGTATTTCCTTATATTGCCTGCATGTACAGCTCCCAGCCCGCCTAGGAGGAAGGCCTTCAGGAAATGGACTCCTCCACGCTCCCCTTTTAATTTGGTCCAAGAAACACTTTTCCACGATCCGTGGAAACTTCTCATTGCGACCATATTTCTCAATAAGACTTCAGGTAAATGGAGTAATACATTTTCACGTTGTGTAACTGTTGGGTGGTGATATAGGATTGAAACAGCTGCCAATTTTTTTTGTGTCATTAATGAAAGAATAAATAAAAATGTTGATGTTTAAAAAAAAAAAAAAAAAAAAGTAGTAATTTGTTTCTTGTGCCTTGGCAAAAACCATGCATAGTTAAAGTGAAGAGGGACCTGCACAGCTGATGATGGTTTCTTTGAGCAGGTAAAATGGCAATTCCTGTGCTCTGGGAGTTCCTCAGGAAGTACCCTTCCCCTGAAGTAGCCAGAACTGCAGACTGGAAAGAAATGTCAGAGCTGCTCAGACCTCTTGGCCTCTATGCGCTCAGAGCAAAAACAATAATCAAGTTTTCAGGTAAGTTTTTATGGCTGTGTTTGTGGAATGGTGTAAATGTCGTTAGCAAGAAAACTACAGCTATTTTCCTAACTGTGCTCTGTGACATCTTTCCCTGCTGGTTTGTTTTCTGAAGCTTTGGGAGATGTTGGTTTTACACGTGTGAAACTGCTGATTGGATTGTCTTAACTGAGTAACTTGTGGTGTTTGTAGAGGTTTCATTTAAAATGCTGCCATGTGCAGCTCTGGGGCAGCATGGTGTCTGCTCAGACCTGGGCCTGCACGGTGAGGGCTGTGCGTGTGTTCCAGACGAGTACCTGCACAAGCAGTGGAAGTACCCCATTGAGCTGCACGGAATTGGAAAGTACGGAAATGACTCCTACAGAATCTTCTGCGTCAATGAGTGGAAAGAGGTGCGCGGTGCTGCTGTGAGTGGGGCCTGAGGGGGCTGTGCAGGCAGTGCGTGCCTGGCCTCGCCTCCTGCTGCTGTCACATATGCGCTCACTTGGATTTAAAAAAAAAAAGATATATATTTTTTAAATTTCAATTAGTTGAATTCTCAGAATGCATTTTTTGCAAGTCTGCCTTAAGTCAAGGCTGACTGATCCATCTGCCTTAGCTCACACGTGGCAGGGGTCTGTTGCTCTGACTGTGGCACTGTGGGTTGGACAAGGGCAGGTTGTGAGCTGGGAGGGGAAGTAGCTTGGGGGTGTGCTTCGGAGCTGTCAGGTGTGTTAAGATATTCATATGAGTATTAATTACTTTTGTTGTGTTTTAGGTGCAGCCTCAGGACCACAAGCTGAGCGTCTACCACACATGGCTCTGGGAAAACTATGAGAAGCTGAGTGGGGACTGAGTGCAGCCTCAGGTGTGCCAGCAGTGGGCTGCGCAGCATCAGAGCTGTGCTGAGCATCGCGTTCTTAGTTTATATGTTGTGTGACATCAACTCAGATAATCACTGTAATAAAATGTTCGAGCGCTTTAAAGGTTTTTAATAAACGTATCTAACTTTGTAGCATCTGTTCTTGTAAAGCTCCCCTGTTCCCCTTAAACCGAACGCGCCCCGCTGCCGTTCCGCCAGCGCGTGCATCACCGCCAGGGGGCGCTCTCCCACTCAGCGGGCCTGGCGGAAGCCGCGTGCCGCCTGGCCCTAAGCTTCCTGGCGGAAGCGGCGCCGGGCAGGTCCTGTCAGCTTCGTAGTGAACGCGCAGAGCGGGACGCGGAGGAGGCACTTATCCGCTCTCCCGCGACGCCCTCCAGGACGCGTCCCACCTTGTTGCGGCTCAGGGCTCTGTGTGACCCCGCGAGGGGCGGCCGCTCGCTCCGTGCAGAGGGGGCGCGGCGCTGACCTGTCGGTACCGCCCAGATCTCCCATAAGCCCCAGCGCGCGGCGGCCCCTCCTTCTCTCGGCGGGCCGTGCCGTGCCGGCGCCATCGCGTAGCAGGTGAGCGCCGCCATCCGCCGCCATCCGACCCGGGAGGGCCCGCCCGGCCCCGCCGCCTGCCCCGGGGGCCTCCACGCCGCGCGGGGAGCCATGGCGCCGGGGCTTTTCCGCGGCCCGTAGCCCGGCGGCGGCGGGGCCAACGAGGCCGGGCTCGCGCGCAGGAGCACTGCGCGCGTCGCTTCTGGCGGCAGTGAAGCGGGAGCGGCCCACGGGGGGTGCCGGGGGTGCCGGGCCGGGTTCGGGCCGCCGTCGGGTCTGAGGCGGCTGGGCTCTCGGAAGTTCCGTCCTTAAAGGGACTCCGGCTGCTGCCCTCCGCGGGGCTGCTCGGGAACCGGAAGGGCCCTGAAGTCGGCGGGCGGGGAACGGAGCGTGCGAGAGCGGGCGTGGGGAGCTGAGCGCGGGCCGCCTCCCAAGATCGCATCTGGGGAGCTCGTGGTGCTCCGCCAGCTTCGGACACGGGAGGCAGAGACACTGCAGGGGAACACCCATTCCCTCCCTGGCTCTGGCAGTGGCTAGGGGGTGGAAGATAGCCTGCTACAGCCCTCGTTGGCACGGTGATGCATCGCCACCGTGTTGCGCCTTTTCTCATCCTGCTCTGCTTCCCTCAGCCGCCATGCCTGCCCTCCGGCCTCTCGTGAAGCCTAAGATCGTTAAGAAGAGGACCAAGAAGTTCATCCGCCATCAGTCTGATCGCTATGTCAAAATCAAGGTAAAAACTCATGGAAGCTTCCTTACAGCAGCACCTTGGGGAAGGTCGGGTTTGTGATTGCCCAGAGGCCTGGTGATGGATTAGAGCATAAAGGTCAGGTGTTGCAGCTGTGGGCCGGGCAGTGGTAGCGCAGGTGTGAGACCTATGGGACGTGATACAGCAGTGCAGCACAGTGAATCTTCGTCGGTTGGTTTTGGCCAACCTCGGTGCAGGCATTCTCGCACCAATGTAGTTTTGTAATTGAATGCCAAATGCTCCCTGTGTTTCTTTAGCGCAACTGGCGGAAACCGAGAGGTATCGATAACAGAGTTCGCAGGAGGTTCAAGGGCCAGATCCTGATGCCCAACATCGGTTATGGGAGCAACAAGAAGACAAAGCATATGCTGCCCACGGGATTCAGGAAGTTTCTGGTCCACAATGTCAAAGAGCTGGAGGTGCTCATGATGAGCAACAAGTAAGTCTCTGGGTTTATTCCCTTCCTTCCCTGATTGTTGCTGCAGTTCTGCAGTCAGTGCTGCGGCTGTGTGCTGCTGTGCTGCCCATCCCACAACGGCACTGAGGAGGAGGATGCGGGTAGGAGACCTGGGAGGTGTGCAGCTTTGGGGAACGCAGGCACCGTCTCGCTTTACTCAGCGCCGCGGTGCTGGAAGGCGAATGGAGAGCCTGAGGCCGTCAGACCTCTGTCTGTGGCTCGTTGTTAAACTGCTCTGCTGTCAGCAGGATGGCTCTCGTTGCTTTGCCTGCACTGCTGCCACGCATCGGGCCGGGGAGGCTTAGGGCGCGCTGTGTTCCCTGCAGGTCGTACTGTGCAGAGATTGCTCACAACGTGTCTTCCAAGAACCGGAAGGTCATTGTGGAGAGAGCGGCTCAGCTCGCCATCAAGATCACCAACCCGAATGCCAGACTGCGCAGCGAGGAAAACGAATAAGCTGGCCTCCACGTGTGGGATGTATTTAATAAAATGTAAAAACAAACTGATCAGGATTGGCCTGTTGCCTGTTTCTGAGGGCTTGGCACACAGTGCTGTGACTCCACTTGCACCTGAGGTTTGTGCTGACGGTGAGCTTGCAGCAGTGCACTTTGTGCATCTCTTGCTCTTACCTGGAGATTTGCTTCCTTCCCGGTACTTGTGCTTCAGGGGGCCTGGAGCCATACCCTGCTTGCGATCATGCTGCAGGGGGGGGAACTGACATCTTAGTGGAGGCTAAGAAAAGGTCATGCAAGCAGATGTTCCCTTGTTCTGTAGGCTCCTAGTAGCGTTAGCAGTGTAATGTTGCTGTGATAAGCAATGAATTCAGGAATGAACACGGCTTCGTAGGTACATTTTTATTTTAAGTTACCACTCAAACAAGGTGGATATTCTTTAACACTGCACTATAAATATTTTTCACATCAACCGCTGTCAAAAATGAGAAATGAAAACTTATTACAACTCCATGGCTGTAAGAAATGTGTCGTGGTGCACTTGTTGTCTAATTTGCTGTTACATTTTCTCTTAAGGCTTTTCTTCCCCTCTGCAAAGCAGTATTAGAACAAAACATCTGCTTTAGAGGTTTTCAAATGACAGAAGGTACTGTGGACTGTATGTTTCAGCAACTCTGGTTACTGAGATTCACCTGTGATACTGGAGCACTCAATATGAGCTTCCCTCCTAATTAGTGTTGCAGCTGTGTAATTTAATGACCAGAATTTGGAGCAGATGGGTGCTGTGGTGGTGGTCACTCAGAACTGATTGCTCCAAGAAGCAAAGAGAGGCCCACTGCTTAATGCAGAGAAAAGCTTGGTAAGTGATTTGTGTTGTACTACAATCCTGCAGTCTCTTTTGGAAGGCAGCCTATTGAGGTATTCTGCAGTAAAAGTAGAAAGAAAAAGCATTGCTGAAACGCTGTGGAAATACCCACCTGTCCCTTGTATGAATCCAGCCCTGTGCAGACAGGCTGGGATGTCTTGGTAAGAAAGTCCAGCTGCAGCTTGCGCAGCTTTGCTCATGCAAGTTTCCTTCCTCTTCTTGACAAAGGTGCTTATGGTGTACATCACTACTTAAAAGACACGCAGATTTCAGCCATGTTGTTAAGTGAAACAATACATTCTTCAGGCAATTTGGAGTAAAAAGTGCGTGTGCAGTGGTTAAAAAAAAAAAACAAACTTTAAAGCTATTTCACTTTGCACTTCAGTAGGGAAACTCCAGGAGGTGGTTTCCATTTTCCATGGCATCATGCTACATTGCTTGACATACCCTGTAAAAGCTTGCTGAAACTTAGCATACACATCTACTCCTCCCTGCACGGGGGCAATGCTTTCCTTGATCTCACGTGCCACGTTAAAATGCAGTGAGATGCCTGGTGCCCACAGGTGCAGCCAGAAGCAGCTACTTCTGCTAGCACTCACCGGCTGCCAAGCAGCTGCTGCAGCACAGAGCAGCTTGATGACATCCTCACTGCCCACCTGTGACATCCCTTGGCTCACGTGTGGGGAGGCAGGCAATGGAGCGCAGGGCAGAGCCCTAGCTCACGTCCATTGATTCTGCAGAAGGCAGAGAAGCAGTGTCTTTCTGGATACTTTCAAAAAGCGATGCCATTTCAGGACTGGATCTGATGTGAGAAGAAAATTCAGCCATCGCTGGACTTTTCTCTGCTTCAGGGATGGTCAGGAGAGCAGCTACTGCTCTCATTGCCGATCGCTTCAATTCATCCTGCTTTTCAAACTCCTGTTTCACTGAACCAGCTTTTACCTAAAAATCCAAAGCAGAATCTTCAGTTGGGATTAAGAAAAGGTGATGCTGGCACAGCACTGACCACATCAGCAGAGTGAGCAGATTGTTTTCTAATCAGAGGGACTTGGGGAGCAGGTTGCTCAGAAGTAGTAGCAGAGGGCTAAGAACGCCCAGCACGCCCCACTGATCTCACCTTTGTGGAGCAGGTTGCCCGGAGCGGTTCGATCAGTCGCTCGAGCCGCTGCAGAACTGCGTTAGGACAAAGCGTAGACAGCCGGGCCAGCATTATGAAAGTCAGCATCTAGACAAAGGAGGAAAGGTAAGATGTGCTGCTTCGCTGCAGCCTCCATTGCCCTGGCTCCAGCATGGATCTGTCTGCAGAAGGCTGTGCTCTCATCATGGCATCTGTACCACAGTGGTTTCCTCTGCACTTCTGCGAGGGGTTTTTATTAAGAGTCATAATTAGAAATGCACCTGCTTGCAGCCAACGTACAACAGGTGCCCAGCTGGACTCAGGTCCCAGGCGTCCTGCTGCCAGGGGTCTGTGGGGTGCTCAGCTTTTGAGAGAAAGCCTGCGTTCACCCAGCAGTTGTGCCACTGCTGTACCCCTTCTAAGTGGAGGTAGATTAAACAGAATGAAAAGGAAACAGTGCTCCTATCAAGCTATGAGTCGTGCCCTGGCTCCCTCAGAGCTGATGTCATGGTTTTATGTTTTTTGTTTTTTTGGGTTGCAGTCTTCCACATCAAAATATCATGCAGTGCACGGGGCATTAAAGTGTCCCTGCCCCAATCCCAGGTTCCCATCCCTGTACATTACAGAAGTCCTGGGATCTGGCCCTTCCAGGGGGGGGCTCTCCTGCTGCCTGGCAGTGGGTGCTGGAGGTGCTTTCCCAGCCGTTCCAAGCTGTTCAGGTTTGACTCAGTCTCGGGAACTCTCTCTCTCATCTTGTCTGATTTAATAGTCTCAATTTCAATTAAATTGTATCTATTGTGTTATCTTGTATTCCGGTATCACAGTAAAACAAGTGTTCCTCCATAGATTGTTGCCGCTGTTCTTTTCCTCCCTTCCTTCCTTCCCATTCTGTGGGACCGGGGTGGGGGTGGAAGGGCAGAGGCCTGCTGCCCCCCTGTCACGGCCATAGATTGATCTGGTCAACTCCATGACAGCTGAGTAACATCAGTTACTTCTCTGTCCTACAGCAGTTTTGGCAAAGCACCTACCCACCTGAATATCATAGTGATCCTTCAGTCCATCCTCCACATGGTTCAGGTACTCACAGATATCCAACCGGTCAAGGCAGCTTTCCAGCAGCGTGTACATGCACTCAAAAGCAGCTTTCCTCACATCAAGGCCATCATCCACCGTGTGTTTGAATGGCCCCATTTCTACCTTAAACAAGAAAAAAACCAGAGCTGTAACCTACCAGCAGACAGCGAGACTGCTTCACACACACAGAGCTGCTGCCGTACCGCGCTCGGCACAAACCGATGGCATACCTCTCGGATGAGTTCTCTTCTGACCTTTGTTTCGTTATATAAGCTGGGGAGAAGTGCGTTTAGCAAGTCCCGGATTAAAGAAGGTTTGTTATGAGCAGCAGAATTAAACATGGCTAAAGCCACCCGTCGAACATTCAGGTCTGAATCCTGAAGGGTTTTTAAGAAGTTACCTGTGGTTGAGAACACATCAGGCAGTGTTTTACAGGTCCACCAAGAAGCAATTGTAACTGACACAGGAACACTACAGTGTACTTTTGATGTAGCTGGGATACAGCTATGGTGAAATAACTTTAGGGGCATGGTTAACAGACACTGGAGATACTTTAATTGAGGGTTACTATATCCTTAATAGAAGAATTGTGCATATTTTTTTGCATATGGGCATAAAGATAAACGGCAAGATTCCAGCTACCGCAGACCTTCCCTTAAAGTCACATCTGAAGGTTCAGTATTCAAGGACGGCGTTCTTTCTTCTTGCTTAGATCTACTTTGCTCCAATAAGACTTCTCAGAAACAGAAGGCCTACTTCCATACAACAGATCTGAGACAGAGGCTCCCTACAAGGTATAAGGCCTTAATTTGGGTTGTGTTTCACAAGATCCTTTCTGCATAATGCTTGAATCTTACGTTTGAAAGCAGAGGGAGTTAATGCTTCCTAAAAATCTCTGCCACCAACAGAATATGCCCGAGAGCAGAGTATCACAACATTTAGCAAGGGCCCACGTGACAGTGCTCCTCCTGAGCGCCAAAAGCAAAGAGGCACTGCAGAAAAATAACTGGATTAGGTGAGGCTCACACAGGTGTGAAAAATCCCTGAGCTGTTAATGAAAGCCAAAACCTGCTCCCACGCACCCTGCGACTTTCACTAGCTTACCTATGCAGCCTTTCAGAAGAGCATCAATAGGTTGAGGATGGTCTGCAATGGTGAATTTGACTGCAGTCACCACTGTACTGCGGGCATGCGGAGAGCCTGCGACAAAGATGGAAAGAAGAAAACAGTGACAGATCAAGAGACAAAATCATCACTTTAACTTTGTAGCACGCATTCTGCTCTCAGTTTCAGCGGACATGCATTGAAAAGCGGGCTGAGGATTTGCCTGAACAACCTCTCCCAGCACAATGTCTTTGTCCAGTCCCTGCTGTGAGCCACCTCCCACAGCCCATGCAATGCATGGCTCCTTTGAGCCCCTCGCAAAGATCCCCTGTCTCCCTTTCACCTCTCCGGTCTGCCTGTCTCCCCGCAGTACCCACCAGTGCTTTACAAGAGGAGCTTCCAGCAAAACAAAGCACCTCTCCATCTCAGCAGTGCTCTTCATTACCTGATGACAGCTGTTTTTTCAGCCGAGGCAGCAGCTCAGAGGGATTCACCAGAGTCAGCTTCCCCAAGCACTCGGCCACCACGTTGCGCGTCCCTTCCTCTGAGCACTCACAGTGCTTAAAAAGCAGAGCCCAAATATCCTCCACGTAGGGCTTGAGGCTGTCGGCTGGGGAGGAGCTAATGACTTCTTTTAAAGAGTGCAGCAGGAGGTACTGTCTCTTGGGCTGGCTTTCAATCTCTTTCAGCATGAAGGGAAGATACTCCTTAAGATTTCCAACACTGATGTTCCCCAGTGCATAGGAAGCAGCAGATTTCACCTCTTCGCTGGGGGAAGCGAATGCTTCCAGGATGACGGTTTTGAGCTCCTTCTGAGCACTCGTGAGGTTCGTGGTGCGCCCCATCTCTGCCAGCGAAAGGAAGGCCAGCACCTTTACAGCAGCGCTGCTTTTG